TTGTAACTATCTCTGAATTACTAATAAAGATACGAGCAAGGCCTCACTTTAAAACCAAAAAAAAAAAAAAAAAAAAATTATTACATATATATATACATTATGAAAGGCAAATTTCACCCTTCAATACAAGAATATACTTCAACACTAATACAAACTAACTAAACTACTCTAACTAGAATACTACAACTAATACAACCAAGCCCTAATATTGGTAAGACAATGATTGAGATGTAGAAAGACTTGGTTTGAGTAACTAGGGTTAATTGGGTTTTTAGTGTTAGTATCAGATTAGAGCTCTTGATTATGTCACGAATCTCTTTACACAGAATTACAGAATTTGGTTACGAATTCTAATCGTAACTATGGATTTTACTTATTGGGAGAGTTAATAGAACAAACGCTTCTACTTAAAGAACTTACTAATCACAAGTCAAATACTCTGATTTCTTTGACTTAGATCATCGAACTCTCTAGAGTTTTTTTTTTTTTATTTAGGATGAAAGGCATTACTTTTATACTTTTTACATTACTACAGTACAAGTCAAACTTATTTACTTAATTCACTTAGTTCGATAAGTTCACGAAGTTCGATAAGTTACAGAAGTCAAAGAAGTTTGATAAGTCAAACTTTGTGACTTGATAATTTTCTTGTTCTTACTATCTTTGGTTAGGTTCAATCTAAGCCACCTCAACATACGAATGAGCCAATATCAGATTGACAGAGCGTAGGATCGATTTTCCGAACACGTGATACCTTCGGAAAACTTGGAATTTTTGTTTATGTTAAGGTTTTGTTTTGATAGAAGTTTATTTTAAAGTTATAAAGGTTGTCTTAATAGTAAAATTATGCAAGGAAATTTTTTATTTAGGACACAAAAGGTGGTTAATTAGATGAAATTCCAAGATATTCTCAATTTCTTTAAAAAGGATGTTTGTTTTGATTTTTTTACATTACACATAATTGTAACTTCTCATTGGCTAATTTTGGCTCAGAAATCATGTGTTCAGAAAATCGATCCTACACCCTGGCATTATCATATTCACCCGATTGGTTAAATTTAATATGTATTCAACCCTCCAAATATAAAAAATTCTATTACTAGCTACGATTTACTCTTTCACAATCTCCCGATCTTATTTTTGAGTTCCACGAGAAAAACCAACACACAAAAAAAAAAAAAATTAAGAACAACCAAAATAAAACAATAATATGAAAAAAAGAAAAAAAATACATAAAATAAAATAAGATAAAATAAAAAGAGGAAATCTTATAAAATCTTTTTTATTTATCTATATTCTAGACAAATTCCTATACAAAATTTGGATTTAATGTTAGACTTCTGTACTGGGATCAAAGCATTGAGTAAGTTGTTTTTCGTAGGTGCTTCAGGTTCATTCTTTTCAATTTCAATTCTGTTTTGGGTAACATAGATTCATTTGCGGATACACTTTGACATTCCTCTGGCGCTTCTCTTAAGTCTTATCCAGCAGGCAATGCAGACATTTCCTTCTTTATTTCTGTCCCTGAATTTTTCAATAATCGGTTACGCTTTGATATCAATCTAGAGCTTCTTCTTATAGCTCAACTGCCATCAATATGGATGTATCCTTACTTATTGCCATCTATTTTCGCTTTTCGAATTTCTCTTCATTTTATGCAATGTATCCCATCCTCGCACACCACTGTCACGACCATCCTTCACTTTCGTCACGTCTATTTCTTTGTTTTAATATCAATGCTATTTCGATTAGAGAATTCATGATCACGTGTTTTATCAGTACAATCCATCAGAGCAGCTATCGGTCGTCTACAAGGAAGCACTTTTTTATCCTCTTTAGTACAATCCTTATACATTCTATATCTCTTTTGTTTTTTCTTTTCAAAACCAAGTTCATTTTGGCGGCAAGATCCAAGAACTACATTCGGGTCAAAAGGTGAAGGAGGTTCTTCAGGATCGATTAGGTATAGGTTTTTCATTTCATTCGGATTATTTTTGATCATCATTCTAAACTAGTTAACCCTTCTATTTC